TTTCCATATAAGGTATGGGACCGACGGAAAGGTCTGTCACCGCCCCCGAGCTGCATGCTGCAGCGAAGTGTACTTGCCCTCTGTGGCCCAAAGTTAAAAACTGTTGTTGTTTTGAGGCCCTGAAGGTGGCGCTGTGGCCCACAGGTTAAGAATCTCTGTGTACCAAGCTGTAACTTATCACCTTTAAAGCACTGAACACAACCATTTAATGTACATTTAATCAATAAAACAGCAGTGACGGTGCATAATAAGAGCCTAAACATTAAAACCAAATAACACTAAAGAATCAACAGCTCAGATGGCAGCAGAACAGATGTTTTACAAAGTGATTTAAAAACAGAAAGGCAGTAATAATAATATAATACCTGTAAGTGTCTGAGGCCACAGCCATGTTTTCTCTCCACTTCCTGTAGAGCGTGTGAACTCTCTCTGTCTCCTGCTGGTTCAGAGTCAGGAAGTCACTGGTCTCCTTAACGTCCAGCAGAGATGGAAGCAGATGACTGAGCTCCAACAGAACCTGCTGGAAGTTAAAGAGAACACAAAGCAGAGTTAATRTTTTAACTAAATGTTGTGTAGAGACCATAGAGAGAGCTTCCTTCATGAAGAAACCTTCACAGAGTCGGTGTCAGGAGCCTCCAGCCTCTGCAGATGTTCCTCCAGAGCCTCCAGCTGAGTCTCAAAGTGTTGCTGCTGCTCCAAATTCATCTGAAACACAAAAACATCTCACTCACTTTGTCTTCAAGCACAATCAACTCCAAATGATTTATTATATAAATTATTTAGATTTATATTATTCAAACCAGAAAACTGATGTTCTCACCTGAAGACTTCGATGTTTTCCTGCCACGGCCTGCTGCAGCAGCAGGAGGTCACACGTCAGCTGCCTTGTTTCTGATTGGATCAGTTCAGCAGCCAGAGGTTCCAGCTGTCCAATAAGATGCTGCGATGCTTCCAGCACTTCTCCCATGATGCTTTGCAGCTTGTCAGCCCCACCCTGCAGCTTCTGGAGCAAAAAAACAAAAAACAAAAATTCAATAACAGAAGCTCAAAACCAAGTGTTTGTCAGATCCTTCATGTGCACATCCTCAGCTCTACTCATCCCACAGATGCATGTTCCTTACAAATGTGGCTCCATTYAACAGGGAAATTAACAGGTTTCTAACAGCGTGTGTTTATTTTACTCACACCTTGTCCAGGATTTATTCAGTTTGTTTTAAGCAGTGCAGCTTTTCCACATATTAACTTCAGGATTTTCTCTAATTCTCAGTAATTCAGTTTAAGCAGCGAAGCTTTTCTGGTTTTTATTGTTGTTTTTCTCTGCGCCTCCGGCTGCAGACTGCAGCTGACAAACAACAACATGGTGAGAAAAGAAAAAGCAGCATGGCTGTCACTAAAACAGAACTGAACTACAGATGTTCCACAGAAAAAATGTTTCATGATTTTAAACTGGTTTTAAAAGAAAAATGTTATTTTCCATCATCATCAAGAGATTTACTTTGTTTTTCTACTTGTGTAAAATGTAACAGCTGCTCCAACAAACTGCAGCTTCCTGCCAACAGAAAAACACAGATAAAAGATCTGAAACTCACTTTTTGGGGGCTAAATGAACAAAACAACATTCATGTGTATTAACAGAGGAGGGTGGGGGGGTCAGGTGGTCCATCAGAACCTGCTGCTGCTTCCATCTGAACCACAGGAGAGCGCACAGAGGAAAACATTTAATGAAACGCTGAACGTAATGTGTGGACTCACTGAACCTGCAGCAAGAACATGATGCTTCAGGCAGCAAATGTTTTCATTCAGTAAATACAAACTGCTTCTGGCAGCTACGAAAACAAGGTTTGAGTTGAGCTTTGCTCTAAAAAATAAAGTTTTTGTTTGTTAGTGATTGGATTAAGACACCAGTTTGTCTTTAACATTTTATATTTACCTGAAAGAAAATCAGTTTTACTACAAATCCACAGGATGRCTTCCACAGAATCACAGCACTGTGAGTACAGAGCAGGTAAGAACTCACCTGGACAGAACAAACGTCAGACTGCAGGTGGTTTTCAGGTGAAGAGCTCCACAGCTCCGCCCACAGGTGCTGCAGGCGCTGAGAGCAGCTGTCTGACAGGCGGCTGTACTCCTTCCACAGGGAAAAGGTCTTTGCAGTCTTTTCACGCTCATCTTTGATCTGATGCAGAGTTTTCTTCCACCTGAAAGGACAGAAACCATCAGGTGAGACACGGACCAACAGCTGCACCTGGATGAAGGAGCTGCAGAGACATGTCATCCCAGCAGCTCAACATCTGCTAAACTGGCCCAGTTATTACTGGTTTTTATCTTGGTTCATTAGCTGTGGCAAACATCTCGCAATGTGTGCGTTAAACTCACGGCCTGAGGGCCAAATGTGGCCCAAAACAGCATTTTAAGTGGCTCACGAGAGCTTCAAAAATGTGTTGTCTTAAAATAAGCTGCTGGGATCATAAACTACATCTCCCATAATCCACGTTGATTATTTTAGCCACAAAATGACAACATCCCACCACTAGGTGGCGCTGCACAGGGTGCAAAAATAGCCAGTGAAAATGCAGTGAGATTGAGATTTTTAAAAAAAGAGAATAATTTTACTGGATTCATGCTGGGAAGTGGGAACGTCCCACTTACAGGTTATACATTTAAACTGCAATGTYCCCTCCAGTGGGAATTCCTTGTTGGAAAGTGGGAGAGTTAAAAACTCACCACAATTAAACAGTGAGTAAAACTCTTTTACTTTTAGTAGTATTTCTGTAGTATTTATTTCACATTTAATCAGTCAAACATGCAGTACTTTCAGTGTTTATAAGAGGACATGTTAAAACACTGTTTCTGTGCAGGAAACACCAGGTAGAGTTCAGATAGTGTTTGTTAGCAGAGCTGTTTAGTCAAATTTAAATTAAACCATGATGTTTACAGTACGTACTCCTCACAGGCCTTCAAGTTGAATAAAAATGGTGGTTCAGGAGATATTTTGCTAACAGACAGGTGTTAATGATGACAGCAGACATTAAACATGATTTACAGAATCAGCTTTATCCACCGACCGTTTCCGCTCTTCTTCTACTTTGTGAGCGAGCGCCTGAGCTGCTCCCTGATGGAGCGTCTCCTCCAGCCTCTGGTAGGATTTCTCTGCAGCCGTCCAGAGGTGCTCCTCCTCCTCCTCCACCTCCACCTGGAGCTCCTGTGGAAAGAGAAAAACACCGAACCTTTCACGCTCGCTCTCTAAAAGCACATTTACTTCCCTGAGAAGTGAGAGCGGYGTGAAAGGAAGTGACAGCTTGAAGTCCATGAAAGCTCGCACTTTACTGAACCTGTCAAATCTGGACTGAGGCTTTTAACCGCAGCTTGCTGTTTCACAAAAACACAAAGCTCTATTTATAGATTTTATCTTTAAATCCATTAATGCCTTCAGCTTTCTGAACCATTCGATGTTATTAAAATACATCTGTGCTGAGGTTTTATCCACTTCTCACCTGGAGGAAGTCTGAGTATCCTTCAGCCTGCTTCAGTGAGAAGAGAGGAGCCTGCTGACGCTGCAGGGCACAGCGCACCCTGGTGGTAAACAGAGAAATGTCCCCCAGAGCTCCTTGGAAAAACGTCCACTCCTCCACAGTGTGCTGAAGAGCAGGCCTGAGGGCTTCCAGCTGCAGATGGACCAAAGAAAAACAGGTACAAATCTACAGTCTGGTGCACTTGATGAAAGACCTGGTTTCTCTAACAGGTGTGTYGTTAAAAACAGAATCAAAAAGGACCAGACTGATGGAGCTCCAAGAAACAAAATGTGCATTTTTCTCTTAAACACCCACGTGTGCCTGTCTGCTCATAAAGCTGCTCACACCTCAGATCACAGACATCGCTCTGTTTTTACCTGTTGACTGAGACCTCTACACGCCTGACCAACACACTCTGCTCGGTCCCAGAAGGCCACGTCACTCGGCTGATTTTCTCCCTTCCCATAATGCACCCGGGTGGATCTCAGCTCCCACAGAGCTGCAGAGACCTCCTTCACTCTGCCGACAGCAGCCTGGAAGACAAACCATCACAGTCCATCCTGCAGACAAGACTCTGTGACAAACATCTGGAGATGTTCTACCTCCCACTGTGGAAGAGCTCTRCGAGCCAGAGTCTGACTGGTGGGCCGTTCCCAGCGAGCCAGCTGCTGCTTCTGCTGCTCTATCCAGGAGACAAGTTTCTGCAGGCGTGCTTCCCGTTCTGCACAGGTGTGATGGATGTGTTCAACATCACAAACCTGAAGAGTTGAAGACAAATACAAGCCTTTACAAGCTCAAATTATATCCATACATCAATGTATTTAATACATCCATACACCAATATATTTAATATATCCATACACCAATATATTTAATATATCCATACTCCAATATATTTAATTTATCCATACACCAATATATTTAATATATCCATACACCAATATATTTAATTTCCTGATACTGATTCTCAAAAGCACCAACTGTTTTTAATTAAGGTTTAAAATGTAAACTTTCATAGCAGCAGTTCATTTTTGAGCTTTATTTTAGCCTCCGACCACTAGTTGGCAGCAGTCAGAAGAAAGGTGAAATACAGACGCAGTTCTTACTGTTCTTCACTGTTCTCCTGATTTCATTAAAAACTGCATTTAATCAGATTTTATGCATGTAATGCATGGTGTGCTCTGTAGACTGAGATTTTAAATATAGAATCGTTTGTAAAATAAAATGACAATATATCACCTGMTTACACAATCACAACATATCACGATATATTGTATCGTGATATGTTGTGATATATATATGATATATCATATGATCTGTATGGTATCACCAGTTAGTGCTTTAGAATTAGAGGACCTAAATATTTGAGTTAGTGCTTTAGGGTTAGTGCATTAATTTTTTTAGTACATTAATTTTTAGATTAGTGCTGCCGACCACTGGAAATCCGTCCGGTCATGGTTGCTTTTTGAACCCAGTGGGTTTAGCAGTCAATGTTTTTAGGGATGATCTAGTTTTAGTTAATATGAACAGAGCTTTATATGTTGTTTATTATTCATRTACCAGTGTCTCCAGCTCCCTCTGAAGATGTAACCACTGGGATCTGATGGTGCCGAGYTCCTCTGAGAACGCTGTTCTCTCTGAGCTCAGGTTCTGAAGGTCTGCTGCCGTCTCCACCTGAGGCCCGGGCTGTGACATCAGATCAAAGAGGAGCTGACCACTGGTCAGAGCTTTCTTCAACACCTGAGAAACCACAGGCAGGTAAAAAAAATACATTTTATATTAGTCTGAGCATTTAAATCAACAATAAATCTGTAATTAGACCAATACAACAAATGGTAAAAGGCTTAAAGCAAACACAGACTGTAAATCTCTTCACACTTCAGTCATTCACACACACTGATGGTGCTGAGCTACAGCTGGGCACACTGACAGAGGTGGGCTACCATGCACCGGGACCACCGGACCCTCTGACCACCACCAGCCGGCAAGGCCACGAATTTATTTTTATTTTAATTTATTTTAGGGGAAAAAATGGTCAGATG